GTTTGTGTATGTGTGTTGTGTGTGCGTGTATGTGTGTGTGTGTGTGTACTTTTATGTGTGTATGTATTGTATATATATATATATATATGTGTGTGTGTGTGTGTGTGTGTGTGTACTTGTATGTGTGTATGTATATATATATATGTGTGTGTGTGTGTGTGTATATATGTATTTATGTACATATATATATATGTGTGTGTGTGTGCGTCTGTGTTTATATTTATATATATTTATATATATATATATATATATATATGTATATATATATATATGTATGTATGTATGTATGTATATATATGTATGTATGTATATATATATGTGTGTGTGTTTGTGTGTAAATGTATATATATGTATGTGTGTTTTTATGTATTTGTGTATGTGTGTTTGTATGTATTTATGTATTTATGTAAGTGTGATCGTGATATATATATATATATATAGGTATCTATGTATGTATGGATGTATTTACGTATGTATGTATGTGTTTGTGAATGTATATGTAAGTATATATATATATATATATATATATATATATAATGTGTGTGTCTGTGTGTGTAAATTCCTGTGTGTATATATATATGTGTGTGTGTGTTTGTTTGTATGTGTGTATGTTTGTTTGTTTGTATTCATGTATGTGCGTATGTGCGTGATCTATATATATATATATATATATATATATATATATATAGCTAGATATATATATATATAGGTATCTATCTACCTATCTATCTATCTATGTATTTACCTGTCTGTATGTGTATATAAATGTATTTGTATATATATGTGTGTGGGTGTGTGTGTGACTGTGTGTGTATGTGTGTATAAAATATGTATATATGTCTATATATACATATATATATGTGTATGTATCTTTCAATGTATATATGTATATATACATATCATTATTTATATGCATGTATGTATGTGTATGTATATATATGTATCTATCTATCTATATATATATGTGTGTGTGTGTGTGTTTTGTGTGTGTGTATTCATATATATATATGTGTGTGTGTGTGTGGTGTATGTGTGTGTATATATATATATGTATATATGCGTGTGTGTGTCTGTATTTAATATATATATATATGTGTGTGTGTGTATGTATATGAGTATATATGCGTGTGTGTGTGTGTGTATTTAATATATATATATATACATGTGTATGCGTGTGTTGTGCATGTGTGTGTGTGTGTATATATATGTATATATGCGTGTGTGTGTGTGTATTTAATATATATATGTGTGTGTGTGTGTGTTGTGTATGTATATATATATGTGTGTGTGTATGCGTGTATTTGCATGCATATTTATAATATACATATATATATGTATGTCTGTATCTTTGTCTGTGTCTCTATCTATGGTCTGGGTGTGTGTTTGTGTCTGTGTATGTATATATACACATATGTGCGTGTATGCATTTATGCACGGATGAACATATGTTTTAAGCACAATTTTGTCTGTATATATATATATATATATACAGTATTTATATATATATATATACATTAATTATATATATATATATATATGAATATATAAAAATATGTTTATGTCTTGTATATATATATGTGTGTGTGTGTTTATATTCCTATATATACATGTTTTGAGTGTATATACGTATATTTCTATTTATAGATATATATGTATGTATTTATATTGATATATTGATAGATATACATATGTGTATGTGCGTGTGTGTATTTATGGTTATATGTTTGTATGTATGTATGTACATTATATATATTTATATATATATGTGTGTGTGTGAGTATATATATATATATATAAATTTATTGATACTTGTGAGTGTGTGTACACAAAATATTTGTCAATGCATATATGCTTTTTTTTTTAATACAAACGTGTGTTTTTGTGTGTTTGTGTATAGAATGACTTCTAACCAAGATTTCAATCTTCAATACGCAATAACGTCATATAGCCATTCTACAAGTACATCGATACTTTACAGTAGTATTTGTTGCATGCATGCATGTGTGTATGCGTACTGACTCTGCCCCAATACCCCCAATATATTTCTTCTGTCGCAAAACTCCTAATATATGTCGTACTATATATCTCAGGTCACACCGACCGAGCGTGGTACGCCGCGTGGTCGCCCTGCGGAAAATACATCGCATCCTGCGGAGGTGATAAAGCCATCCGCATATGGACCCAAGCCCAGGATACCTGGAACTGTATAAATGTGTTAGAAGACGCGCACACACGAACAGTCAGGCACGTGTCCTGGTCGCACGATGGCAAGTTCTTGGCGTCTGCGTCGTTTGATGCGACAACCTGTGTGTGGGAGCGCGTGGAAAATGGTATGTGGACTAGGCTGAAGTGTATGCTGTATACTCCTGTGATACAAGGGGTAGTATATAAGTGTATGTTATGGTACTATATGTACTATATAAGTGTGTGTTATGGTACTATATGTACTATGTAAGTGTATGTTATGGTACTATATGTACTTTATAGGTGTATGAAGTGTATGTTATGGTACTATATATACTTTATAGGTGTATGCTATGGTACTATATGTACTATATAAGTGTATGCTATGGTATCATATGTACCATATAGGTGTATGTTATGGTACTATATGTACTATATAAGTGTATGCTATGGTACTATATGTACTATATAAGTGTATGCTATGGTACTATATGTACTATATAAGTGTATGCTATGGTACTACCGTTATATATCCAATGGCACTATCGTCCCTGTGTTTTGGTGGGCCAGATGGATCGCGACAGTTTGTGCAGTGTTCATTTTGAGTGCGTGATTGTATCGCAGAGTTTTATGCGAAGTTTTGTTTTTGGTTTTTTGGTTCTTGTTTTTTAGTTATAGGATGTGTCTCGGGTTGCCCTCAGATCCATTCCTCGAGACAGCGGCCGTACCTGTCCGCTGGGGGGTTCAATCTCGCTACACTTATATATAGCTCTTAGCTCTTGGTTAGGTGTTCCCTTCTCTTGTCAAACGTGGAATATAATATATGTAGTTGAGTTTCATTGGCGCGTCAACACTCCTGGGTAGTATATAGTGCACGTGGTCATCCTCACGCCTAGGTGTGCTCGTACGAATAGTTGCAGAGTGTGTACATCCACTGCAGCTGGTGTATGTACGCATCGCTCAGTAGAACGGCTGGTAGATATTGCTCGGGAGATGTAGAGCTGGACTCAACCATCACCGTCAGCGTGCACCTTCCCTGTGTTTCATGCTGTGTAGTGTGCGGAATCGATTGAACTATGGCGTTCGATTGGCATCGTGGACTTTGACTTTTGTTTCAATTGTGATAGCATAGCTGATAGTAGTACATACAACCACCCAGAATCTACAAATATGCCTTAACATCCTATCTTTTTTTAGAATGCCTTTAACATCGTATGTTTTATTTTCGGCTTTTGTTTCCTTGTGAAATTGCATACTTCTATCATTTGTTTCGATTATTTCATTCGCACACGGCATCGCCTCTGTTCTTCATCGACATTTCAGACTGGGAGTTAGCAGCCACACTGGAAGGACATGAAAATGAAGTTAAGTGTGCCGAATGGTCCAGCAACAGCCGCCGCCTGGTCACGTGCAGTAGAGATAAATCCGTTTGGATCTGGGAAGGTATAGTATGCCACGCGTCTATATATATATGTATATATATTATAGAGGTAGAACTTCCCGTGTGGATGTGTAGTTGTTACTATGGATATATGGATATGCGCATCGTAGGTTATCTTACATGCTGGTAGGTTGTTCAACATCTGATCCAGCCATAACAAACATACATGCAACAAGAACTGAACACTTATGCGTATGGACATTTGCATATTCCATACAATTGTATGTGATAACTCTTTAGCCTCTTTGAGTGTGCTCCTCCATTTTCAGCAAAGCTCAAGCGACCACTTCGTACTGGTTCTGATGGCTTTTTGTAATGTCATATTCTTTCACAGATGAGGGCGATTGCGATTTCGACTGCATGTCTATTCTGCAAGAACACACACAGGATGTTAAGTGCGTGAAATTTCACCCTCAGGAAGCGGTATGCAACTTTGTATAAATATATGTGTGTGTATGTAAATTTGTGTATATATATATATATATAATATAATATACAATACGTAAATGTTATATGTATATGTATGTATATATGTATAACGACTGTTGGACACTTTGTAGCCCAAAGGAGATCGTCACATTCAAATGCGGAAATTCAGTATTTGTATACGATTGACGCTTCGTTTTCTCCCCGGAATCTGTTGGGATGATTAATCTTGTGAGTGGTTCCGTACTGTGTCATATACTGAACACTGACTGGCAGAACTACATCGTTTGAGCTTCCGGCATTCATTCGGATAGGCATTGGTTAGCATGCTCTGTACCCATGTTGTTAACTTGTCTGCTACTTTACTAGGCATGCCGTCCCAAGTAGCAAATACTCAAATATGGGCTTTCTTCTCAGATTATTGCGTCTGTATCGTACGACGATACGGTGAAGTTATATGGAGAAGACGATGATGATTGGGAGTTGTTCGATACGCTGAAAGACCACACATCGACCATTTGGTGCATAGACTTCGACTGCACCGGTGATCGTATGGGTACGTCTCGAGTTGAAGATTTCTGTATCGAACTTATGTATACATCCCCTTGCAATCAGATACATATATATATATGTGTGTGTGTGTGTGTGTGTTAGTGTATGCAAATGTATGTAGTATCGTGTATGTATGTTTCTATCAACGTGAATTGTCTACTATGCGTGCATAATACGCTCGTGTCGCATATATGTATTCTCAACATATTTTAGATCAGCATCTGTACCTGTGCTCCTTTTTATTTGTATATATGCCGCTATCTTTGTGGTGGGGGATCACTTCTATTGTTTCTTATGTAGGTGTGTACTTGATTGTGCATTAGCCATCTACGTGTTTTTACGCGTCTGTACATATAGTTTGCGTGGCATACAATATACAAGTATATGTACATAAACATATCCATATATCTCTCTATATATACAAGTATGGAGATGGGTCTTCGTGGGATGTCCTTGTTACATATACATCAACATTTGGCTCAGTGTGTTGCGATATTCACCAGAAATCTGATGTACTGTGGTGCGATGCTTTGCCACGAGCACATGAGTTACTGGTTGGTAGTTGGCTTTTTCTCATGCCTTTGTTTGTACCCGTTCCCAGTGACGAGCGGGGACGATAAAACTATCCGCATCTGGCAGGCATACCATCCCGGAAACGCGCAGAGTATGTTGACAGGCTAAACTCTTTGCATGGTTCTGTGCTCATCTTATATGAATTGGCCTACTGTTATAGAAAACCAATCTTTTAGAGTGGCTCTGTGTCAAATTTTTCGGAAATTTTTGGGTTCTTGGACTACCATCATAATCATCACAACGTGTTTCTGCGCAGCTTGTAGGTGTGGTAGCTTTCGAGATGTGAACACCACCGTGAATGTACTTTCCTTGTTTACATGCGTGTGTTGCTGTGCCTGTGCCTGTGCCTCTGTTTGAACATACATATATATATATATATATCTCTATATATATATATACTTATTATGGGTCCTTGTGTGTCTCTGTCGATATTTTAGTGCGTATATGCGTGTGTGTCAGTTCGATGCAGTTTGCATCATGCTTGTGGTTCGGAGATTCACTTGAAGTGTACGCGAATACGAACATAATCAGCAATACTAATAGATTGTCGTTGTGATCATATGTGTACATGTATACACTACTATCGTCGAGGATCGCTAAGAGTACAATAATCTCATATCGTGCGCACAGATATAGATACACCCGATCACAGTCACCCGAAGTATGTCAATGTGGCTACGCTGGAGAATGTGCACACGCGTCCCATCTTCCACTGTGCCTTTTCTAAAGTGACAAAAGGCAAGGAGCGGATCGCCACGGTGGCTGGGGATGATTCGTTGGTCATACTTAAGGAGGTATATGTCAATTACAATCGGGCACAAGATTTTCTCTGGGTGTTCCACCACTGTGTCTGAAATGCTGTGTTTAAGTCATTTTGGTACGAGGGATGTGTCCGAGCCTGTGTGCACTTCATGTCTGGCGTACTGACACGTTGCATTCTAGAGTGTGTACAACCTATGCAACCGGTGTTATATGTTATACAAGCTTTAGTCGATTTATCTACCTTGTATTCTTAGAGGTTGTGCATTTAAATGAGGTATATGTATTCCATATTGAGAAAGTCTGCTGCTATTGAGTGTGCTCCTGCTCACTGTGCCACACATATCCATAGCATTAGACCAAGCAACCATGCGCTAATTCCGAGTAACCGAGGTCAGCAATCGGTTATGTAGCGGGAACATACGTATAAAAGAGATTCGCCTGCTTCTGAATGCTAGCAGACAAAATTTACCTTTATACGCATATGCTTGCAAGTGTTCTGGTGACTCATTGATGTTAGTAATCGTTAGATTCTTTTATTAAAGTTACACCCCAGAAATAGTGCAATTTACAGCTTGCATTAGACTGGTATGACCAATATATGCTTCTCGTAACTGTTCCTTTCGATATTAATGTGTCAGGCGGATGTCAGCGACCGAAACGCGCCGTCATGGGAAGTGCAATTCAGGGAACCTCAAGCACATACGCAGGATGTCAACTGTGTATGCTGGCATCCCACGGACCCGAATATGTTAGTCACGGCCGGTGATGACGGGTGTATAAATATCTGGCGCACGGCTTCAGAGTAGAAGTGTAGAAAATAAATTGATACTAATGACTCTGGATTGGACTTTGTACTTTCTTTGCGGGTTGACAGGTGTTCATATTTTGATTTTGCACTGATTGATTTCATGACGTGCCCAAGAATAAAATGTGAATGCCATTGAAGTTGAAACAGTCATATTTATTCGTTGGTTTTCATCGTCTTTCCTTTATGAGGTGCTCGGTGTAGCCTTGGCCATCAGATACTTTGGAGATTTCACAGAATGGCCAGCAGGCAGCCGCATAATATCAAGCGATTTGGAGATCTTTGGTCAAGTTCTATTTGAAGCCCGTGACGCCGTTCGCAATGAGGGATTGGCAACTGTTTCTACCTTTGACACCGTGGTCGGGTCGATTTTCGCATCGATGCATTGTGATACGTAGGTGAACTGACTTTATTTGCCATGTGATCTGGCATGTGAGTTCAACTACACCTCCGTGTTAATTGTTATGGTGTTTGGAGTATGGCTGTCTACTACATATGGCTAATGTGAAGAGTCCTGTAAATGGCCATAAGGTCAGTGCTGGGTAGTGCGCATCATTCTCGTGAACAGGCTAGTATCCCCCAGAGGTTCAATGCCAATACAATGTATATCTGTGTTATATGATCTTCGATAGGCACAGATAAATGATACATTGTAGAATACGACATCGCAGCTATGTATCCGAGGCATTAAATCCGTCTTTTTTCGGGGTCAAACACTGCAAGCTTGTTTGGATGTTCATCTGCACCTTAAATACTATCTGAAACTCTTTTGTGAGTAAAAATGTAAGTTTTGACGACTTTTTCTGTGCACCGGCATTTCCTTAAGTTTGTATTGTCTCATCTCAGTTTGAAGGTTTGCGAATTCTCGCCGCGTAAATGAGCATTTCTTATAGCCCTTTCTATCATAACCATCACTTGCGTACGTCTCACTCACTATAATCAAGTCCGCGAACCTAACGTGCCTTTTGATATTGTCGATTTTTACAACTTTTGAGGAAGTCATGATGTCGTATCTTTCCAAAGCGGAAATTGTAGACTCGACAGAAGTCGTAAAAGAATCGTCAAAACTAGTGTTTTTCCTCAAGTTCGCACTGGGATTATCCCGGATCATGTCTCGTACGCGTCGTATAGGCGATTGTTTTGTAGTTTCACCATGCCCTTTTGCCGCATCAATCTGAATCAGCCTCAGCAAAAACATTGCTGCGGGAAATAATCTTTATAGTTTCAATATATCAGGTGTTGTTTGGATGTTTATATATGTATGTCAAAAAGTTTTGTGAAATTGCCCGTCATGAGTGTAGCAGCATTTTACGCTAAATAAATGATAAAACCTAGAGAGAATTTTTATAGAGCACTTGTCGAAGCTTCACATCTCGAGAGTCGAGACTCGACACGATGACATATTTTCAATTTTATTCATATATACTCATTTATATTTTTATTCATGTTTTCAAATAAATTACTGGTTGTGAAATGGTTTGGGCTTTCTTCTGGTTCTCCAATCTCTGATCGCCAGAGTGATCGGACGGTGGCGTCACAAGTCACAACTCACAACAAGTCAACCGTCAACGGCAGCTCAAGGCGGCACACAAGAAGGCGGCCCAACTCAACTAACAAGATAGAGTGCATACCGCCTAGGCTAGGCTCATAGCAGAAGTTGCAGTCCTCCAGTCTCAGACTCAGAGACTCTCGGAACACTGAGAATAGAAAAATTGCTTTAGTTTCACTCAAAACAGAGTGACGGACGGACAGAGCAGAATTATATGAATTTCTGCGGTGAAAGAAGATAGTCCAGAAAGGGAATTCTAGAGAAAATACAAAAGAAAAGAGTAAAGACTCCGCCACTGTGCCCGGGTCCAGGGCCCCAGGCCCCAGGGCCTCTGACAGGTTAAAAGCAGGTTGCCAGTCCGCGACTCCGCTGACCGCTCTCTCTCTGAGACTCTGATAACTCTCTCAGAGACTCAGTCTCTCGGTCTCTCCGCTTCTCTCTCGGAGTCTGTGTGTGAGACTGTGAGTGACGTCTGAGCGGGAGGACTGAGAGGACTGGAGGGAGTAGGGTCCAGTGATGAGACTCTGAGTCTGAAGCTAAACTCAAAAAGTTATAGCCTTATAGGGGTACGGAATATAAGTCCCAACTTTAATGTTAACTTTTGATTTTTAAAAGTTATAACTTTTATTTTAGGACAAATCAACTACAAAGTTATTTTGGACACTGCACTCAATAAGGCCGGTTTTGCTAATTTTGCAAAATATAGGGATATAAATTTTGAGATGAGTAAATTGATTGCTGCATACAAATCATTCCAACTAGATGTTTACGTCCCTCGATGAGCTTAAATGCGCCCAGCCCCTCACATCGATCACCGTCGTCGTTATAGTACGCCCAATTATGGACCGTCAGTAGATCACCAACAACGACAGAGTTGGGTGCATAGATAAGTCCGACGACATAAATCGGATCATGTATGTAAACAATTCGTACATTATCTTCAGTTACATCATATTCTGCTGGTACGGATGGTTGGGTTGCAGTTTGAGGTTGTGTTTCATTGAAACTACCTACATATATTTATATTTGAAAGGAATGACTGACATCGCTGCTGTCTTTGCACAAAAGAAGTACACATCGCATCGGCGAGTTCGAAATTGAGTATTTTTTTTACAATCGATCAGTTTATAGATACTCACCTTACAACCTCTGAATAATAAGGCTTTAGTTGAAAATTCTGCTTCGAATATTGACCGTCAGAATATTCGGAGGATTGTTGTCCTGGATGAATCCCTGATGGGGAGTCCAAATCCGAAGAGTTTGAAGCTCTAACGATATTGCAACACCTTTATTGGCCTCAAAAAGGTCGATTTTGGGAATATGGCCAAATCAAAAAAATGCTTTTTGAAATATTGGTCGTATCAAAAAATGAACTAGCTCATCTTTTTTAGGAGGATGAAATAAGCCCAAATCCGTTGGGATAACCCGATTTGAGTAATTTTTTCGATGTGTCCCATACTCCTGAACATAGGGGTCCGGAAGACCCCGGTTCTTACTTGTGTGCACCATTTTGGTAATATCATACATAAAATATTCCACAGGGAGGTCTGGCCTCTGGCCCCTTTTTCTTGTTTTTTATTGTAAAACATTATCAAATGTGAACTTGTGGAGTCTTTCCTTCTGAAATGAGGAGTCCACAAATGTGGAGTTTAAAAATACAAGAATATATTTACAAAGAGTACATAATACAACTTTTGGGGGGGGGGGGGGTTTCAACAAAGTATTGTAAATAAAGTAACCCGTTTGAAAATCGTCCAAAAAATCGTCCAAACACTGTCATTTCAAAAAATTACAGTGAAGTCTTCAATTAAACCGAATAATCTATCTATGAAATCGTCCATAAGAAATAAGAAGAAAAAATGTTGCCATACAAGTTTTGAGTATTCCGAATGTAGCCTAATGAAAATTAGTCTATTTTTAACCTATATATTTTAAAGTAAAAAAAATTGCTTTAACGCATACCGAAAAATGTATTTGTGAAAACGTCTTCCCCCATCCCTTTTTAAATTTTGTACATACTAATTTTATTCTTTTATTTATTTTAAACAATGACATAGCTTACTGACATATCCCTTTAATTAAAATTTAGGGTTTTGTCAGTTTCAAAAGATACTGCCGGAGGCATTCGGAACTAGGAGAGATGGAAGTTTTGTATACTTAATTTGGTACGCAATTCGGGATCTTCTTGTAGACCTTCCCGACTTGATATCAAACCATTTGGTACTCTATCAAGCCCTATTGGCGTTTGAGATATTGTCAGACAATGGAGAGGCAAACAGAATCCGATCTTCATCACCCGAAGCTCAATCTTCTTCTGGATTGGACGCAACAGCAATGTCGCGAATGGCATCTGAACAGGAGCCT